GTGCTACTTAAGTTCGGGGCCTTGGTCTCTCATTACCTGGGATTGTTATAGAGCGAGAGGCCTCCTCTAACTATGAAGTTGGTAGCCTGTCCGACCAAAGTTCACCTTTCAAGTACCCCCCTATTCACTGTGTGTCTCTGAGCGAGGAAACCTTGGTGCCTCCACTTCCCCATCTCTCCAAGACTTAGGAAGGAACAGGTGGGAAGAACTTCCATCAGCTGACCCAAGCCCTGGCCACACAGGCTTTCAGCGAACACCTGACCCACAGTGGTCTCTTAGTGAAAAGTAACTTTAGATTAGTCACCAAATGGCCACAACCTGAAACACAACATTGCTGTAAGTCTCAGAGGTGCCGTTTCCACACCCAGGGGCCTTCTGAAAACAGGTCCAAAAAGGACTTCACTGTGACTCATCTGTCATGTCTCCAAAGGCTGGTGTCTGCCCTTGTCATCATGGAGACCACAAGTCAACCACTTGTCTGCTGTCCTTGTGAGCTGTCTGGCTTTTCTGTGAGGGCCTCTAGGCACTGGGCCATTTCCTCTACAGTCCTTATTACATTCCAGACCAAACAACGAAACCCCAATGATGGAGCCCAGCAGAATAGAACAGAAAGGGCAGGGGAATGGAGCCTGAGAACATATCCAGAGCCCAACACTTCCTGGCTCTCTATTTGACCATTTTGCCCATAGAGCGATCCCTTGTGGTTAATTATGCCACTCACCTCATGGGATTATGGTGAGCTTTCTATAAGCAACATATGCCAAAGCAACCAGCACATGGTAGGCACTCAGTAACTGTTCACACAAAAAATTCTCCAGCATAAGCTGCCCAACTGTTGACGACTGAAGAATATGCACTGATTTGCTTCCAGATACCACAGACTCTGTCTGAACTGGCCTCCCGAGAGGTGGCCAGCTGGACTGCTCAACTCCCCATCTCCTCCACACAATGGCTAAGGTCCTCATCCCCTTGGAAGGCCCAGCCTGGCCCACTGCTGTCCAAGCCTTCACACTTGCCCAGGGACGCCTGTGCTTACTTGGAATTCACTGGCTCGACTTCCTACCATGTTTATGCAAATATACTGATAAATGGCAAACATAAACTTTAATGAAGTGTTACGTAAACAGAAGACGTTTAGTGCAAAAGAAATCACTCCTTGGAGAAAAATGGTGACCACTTAGGAAAGACTCATCAAAGACAGACCTCTTTAACATTGTCAAACTGGGAAGAAAAAAAAAAAAAAGACATACAACATTAAGTGGTAATTGTTTAAAATCTAGAAAGTGCTCCATTCAGAATTTCTTGTAAGTGTCTTTGTCCTCCGTTTGAAAGAAACAAATAGGAAATCATAAGGTGGCTATGGTTTAAGTCAACTTGGAACTCAAAGACAAGTTCCTAGCCTGGATCCAAAACATGGTAAACACATACATGTATGTAGTTATTAAATAAAACATTTAATAGATACCATTTGTATGAGTCTCCAGTTTATTACACTTTTCCCATTACAGGGTCCCAGTCACACTGGCTGAGAGATACAGTAGAGATTTCCAGTTGAAACATATACCAAAGTACTTCAAGGTACACGTTCCAGACAAACCAGCTCTAATGCTTACATGTTGTATCATCAAAAGCATTATCCAAATTTTCTACTGTTCTTTAATTTGTAAAAATGCCCATCCTCTTCACCTTCATAGAGTCATGGATGGACACCACTCCAGTGAGCTCAGGAATCTCCTGAGAGCAGCCCGGTTTCCAACCCCTTAATGTCAGCTCCGAAAAGAGAACCCAGGCTGGTCCAGTTCACCTGGAATGACTGGCACAGGGTAGGTCCACAGTAAATTCTGTGTATGCCCAAATATAAGGCAAGAGGTTTCCCACGGAAAAAAAAAATCACTCAAAAAATTAGAATTGTCTTACATTAGAGTTCTTATGAAAGCATATTTAAAAGTACTCTTGAAATTACTCAATTTGGAACTACAAAGCCCTTTTAAAAAAAAACAAAAAACATATTGCCCCAAAACACCTCAACCAATGCCAGTAGGGGGCCTTGCAGGGGTCACCTCACACAACTGTCAAAACAAAACAAAAACAAGTTAGGCTGAGAAACTTAGCACACATTTAGCACCTGAAATGGTTGGACGCTTCTGTTAAAACAGGACTTTTTAAAAGATCACTTTCAGAAGCAACACGTAACAGTAAGTATTTCCCAACAGGCAAACAAAGAAACCAACAGTCCTAACCTTAGACAGTAGGTACCAATAACTTGGTATAAAATTTCCAAGGGCAGCATAATTAACTGATTCAGAAAGTGCCTCATCTCAAATGGCTCAGGTGAAAGCAGAGCTGAGAGGTTCTGCTCACCAGGCTGGAGGATTCCAAGTAGCTCTGCTGAGAACCAAAACCCTGAAGAAAAAGATGCCAGTGAAGAGTGTGGAAAAATTATTTCATGAACTCCATGCAGAACCCAAATAAGAATTCATCCGTTTTATACATGACACCTTTCCAATGTCTAACTGTGAGTAAATGCACAATCTAAGTAGATACTTGGTGATCTGCATACCTACAACCTTTACACATGCCTGTTGGCCAGAAAGGTTTGAGAAGCATCTCACTAGGAAAATCGGAGACAGTTTTTCATTAACAGTCAACCTGCTAGTAAGGCATATATGGTCTCTGCTGAATCATGACATGAGTGCCCACCTATTAAACAACATAGAACAACATCCAGCATTCAGCTTTGCTATGAGGAGTCAAAGCAATTCCAACAGACAGTAAAGTATCAAAAGCCTATTTGGAACTAATTTTCAGCTGAAGTCTTTGCCTGCCAAATTTATAGTGTTGCTTAAAGTGCAACACTCCATGCAGGACTTCTGGCTGCCCAAGAAGACTCCCACTGACTTACACATCAGTGAGTAAAAAGCTAGAAGATGTTATGATCCCCACCTCCACTCCTTTTGTCTTTCGGAAAATGATCAAATATTGATCAAAAATTGTATTTAATTCGGACTCTTCCTAGGACCCAAACTCAGTCCTCATGAGGTGGGCGTGTGAAGAAAGGAGTGAGGGTCACACTCAACACAACAAAAATAAACTGTGTTGCAAAGTTTCCCTGAAGCTCAAACTTCCATAAACAGTCTGATCGCTCCATATGCCTATAAAGTCCACCAATAATCTCAAGACCAGCCAACAAAAAATTAACTCCCTGTTCCTGTCATTGCAAAAAGGTTTCAGTTCAACCTCTTTGACAATTTTTTTTCTACGCCACAAATGGCACAGTTCTGGGAGCTGCCTCGGGTTATGGCCTTTCGAATTTCAGAGGTTACCTCCTCACCTCCGATCAAACACAATTCACATAAAATGCAGTAGGAGGACATCTGTAAATACATTCTCATCAAAATGTCCTAGGGTTTAACTACAAACATCATTCTACAAACCATTCAGTTCTCTGAGTATGGGGAGGTAACCCACTTATTCTGCAAATAAAGACCTTCGATTATAATACCTTAAATGAAATAGCAAGGACAGGAAGGAAAAGCTCGGAAATCAAGAACACGCACACTCATAACTGGATTTAATCACAACTAAAACCAAAGAAAAACTACTTAACTACCTTCCCTCCAGCAGCAATCCCAGGCATAAATATTCCATGACTATTCTTAACTGTCCATTATTCCCGATCCATAGGAAACACCCAGTTTGGCAAAGGAGGGCATTAATCTCTAAAGCTCAACACCAAGGATTTAACTTCCTAACCTCAAAAATATTGGTAGTACTAAGTAATTCAGATGGTTAGAATTGTCCCAGCTTCTCTGTATTACACGTATTGTAAGGATTTATGCATCAGCAGCTTCTTAAACAGTCCAAAGTAAAGAAAATACTTTTAGTTCTCTAAAATGAACGATAATTACAGTAGATCAATAATGGTTTTTTTTTTAACCCATAAGTGGGATTTTCTACATTTAAAGAAAATATACAACATGAGGACTTGCTTCTCACTTAAGCCAGCATCCCGCAAGCTTTCCTCCCCCTCCATAATAGTAATAGTAACAGAGGGTGTGAAGCCAGAGCTTCTGAAGAGCTTCTGAAACCAAATCACTGAAACCCCAAGATAAAGTATTTCACTAAAACAGAAACAGTGAAAGACACTGTACAATGTAGTTGCACCAAAAAACACAGATAATGTCCCACCTGGGAATGCAGCCCTGCCCAAGGGCCGGAAAGAGGTCTAGGGCTTCCTGACAGAACAAGCTCAAGAAGGCCCGGCCAAACATTCCTTCCCTCCTCTCACACGAAGTGTGTAACTCATGCTCTTCCAAACCCCAGTCACACAATTCCCTCTGCCCAACTCTCTCTTGCTAGACACGCAGGCAGGAGGCCCAGAGTCTCCCCAGAGGTCAGAACCCTGGAAACACTAAGCATTAACTTGACCCCAGGCCGGCGCGAATGTGCCGAGGGCTAGTCTGGGGGTCCAGCGGAAGAAGACTTTCTGGGTACAGACGGGGGCCGGCCAAGTCAAAAAGGTGGAGACACGGGCCCTGCCAGCAGAGGGACTGTAGAGACTAGCGGTCAGCTGGGGACAGGAAACTGTGTCCACCCTGGGGGAGGATGGGGTGTCACCACATATGAGCAGGTAGCAAGGTTCCACAGGACTGCATGCTGGCACGCAGCAAGTACAGGTGGTGCGAGAAGGGATTCCAGAGAGGAGGAGGGATGGGCGGCAGGTGCAGACAGGCATTTCAAGGGAAGGAGACAGGATTGTGGAGCGGGAGGTGGAGACACAGTGTCCAAGAGTTGGCAGGTGTGACTTGACGGGTTACACTCACGGAGTCCCTGGAGAAAAACTACTTGGAGAAAGAAGAGCAAGGCAAAAGCCGTTGTGGGGGGCCACCTCTGGTCTCCCTCGCCCTTCATCACTGCCCCCTACAGTCACCCGAGCACACCCCTTCCCCCCCCCAACACACAAACACGCTGTGTCGTTGCGCGGTGAAGCAGATACCCACCTTTGCCACGGGTGCACTCCTGCTGGTCGCCAGCTCCCGCAGGCTGGCGGTGGCGCTGCCGGTCGCCGCAGGGAGGAAGACTGGGGAGCCGGGGGCGCTGCCCGCCGCGCTGCCCCCGCCACCCGCGAGCGCGGAGGCCGCCCCCGAGCTGGGGCCCGGGCGAGCGGACGGGCTACCACCGGGGCTGGCGCCAGCGCGGGGCCGCTGGCGAATGCCGTCCAGCAGGCGCACCAGCAGGATGTTGGCGGGCAGCTCGTCCACGCCGCAGCCCACCAGGATGCGGCACTCGGGGCAGCGCAGTTCGTGGCGCGAGCACACGATGCTCTCCAGGCAGCGGCGGCAGAAAGTGTGCTGACACGGCAGCACCTTGGCCGTGGTGTCCAGGCGCTCCAGGCACACGGAGCACTCCAGCAGGTCCAGCAGCGACGACTCGTCCATGTCCTCGCCCGCCGCCGCGGCCGTGGCCGCCGCCCGCCGCCGCCGCCGCTCACCCGGCCTGTCGTCGTCGCCCTCGCTCTGCGCAGCGGCGGCGGCCGCCTTGGACGCGCACAGCCAGGACGCTCCGAGCAGCATGGGGGAGGCGCCGGCGGCGGCCGCGCGCAGCTGCCTAGGTCCCGGGGCCGAAGCGGGACCCGCCGCGGACAGCGGGCATCAGGGTCGCGCCAGAGCGGCCTCCGGGGAGCCGGGTTCCGCAGGCACTTCCTTCACCCCGCCTGGCTGCTCGAGGCTCCGGCAGCGGCAATGCCAAGGGGCGCGCTGACCGGCCGGCTTGGTGGGGACCGGAGTTCCGCGCCCCGCGAGCCAACTCCGGGCCAGCCGAGCCCACCCAGTCCTTCGGAGCACGGCGCCCGCGTGTGCGGGCTACACCTGTCCTCCCGTGTGTCCGCTCCGCCTCAGCGGGCGCTGCGCTTGGAGTGGCCACCCGCGGCCCAGAGCTCCGCTGCAGGAAGTTCGGGGAGCGGCCGGTCGGGTCCCCGGGGAGACCCAGGCTCAGCGTGCGCGCTACCCCGCGCCGCTGGTGAGCCGCACCGCCCGCGCGGCGCCTCCATGCGCCCTGGGCCTGTCCTCGAGTCCCTGCCCCCAGCGGGTTCAGCTGTCCTTCCTCTTGCTCCGCCGCGGGCACGTGCTCGGGGAGCGCGCAAAGGTCACGGTCAGTGAGGAGCGCAGGAAAGGAGAAGCAGCGCCCACTGGACCTCCCCACGCCTGGGCGCACAGCGGCGACTAGTCCCGTCCCTTAGGGTACCTCTAGGGCTCCCAGGAACTCCGAGCGCGCCCTCCTGCGCCGGCTGGGCCCTGTCCGCTCCGGGCGCCTGGAGTCTTCCTCCGGCTCTCCGCGAACCTCAGAGAGGGATGCTTCCTCCCGACGCTGCCGCGAAGGAAAGTTTGGGCGGTGTTATCCGGACTGCCTTTCTCGTCAGCGCCGGCGAGCAGCTTGGGAACATAGCCAACACCCGGGCATCCTCCTCGACGACTCCCCGGAGCGCTCCCGGTCGGGTCCCCCTTCCAGGCGGTGCGCCGAACTGACAAGCCTGGAGCTGCGGGTATGGTGCGGGGACGCCCCGCGAAGCAGCAGGGGAAGGCTCTCCGGTTGGCTGAGGCGCCCCCGGGGCGGCTCGGTCTCCTCCCGGCGGCAGCCCGCCCTCCCCGGAGTCGCTGGTCCGAGGCCGGCGCCGCTGCCCGCTGGACCCGCACCCTTGCGCAGGGCACCCGGTCGGCGCCGCGCCCACTGCGGCGCAGTCTCGTGAACCCCGCTCCAATTCCTCCTCGGGAGGCGCAGAGGAAGGGGAATTCGCGCTCTCCTTCCCGACGCCCCGGCTTCTGGGAGCGTCAGAGCAACGGAAGTACGTACGGAGGACTGGGAGCAGCAGGGAAGTTTGGCAATGGGCTGGGGTCGACCGCGAAGATTCCCTGCAGTGCGCTGCCCCCTCGTGGCCGCTTGGGGTTCCCAACGAGCCCTGGTCCCCTCCAGGCCCAGACCCAGCACAAGCCGAGGGCCAGGGGCTAGAGGTTACAAAGCTGGATAGTTCTTTTTTCTTTTCTTTTTTCTTTTTTTCTTTTCTTTATTTATTTGAGGGAGAGCGAGCAAGCAAAAGAGCATAAGCAGGGGGAGAGGCCGGGGAAGGGTGGGGAGGACAAGCATGCTCCAGGCTGAGCCGGGAGACTGATGCGGGGTTTGATCTCCGGACCCCAAGATCATGACGGGAGCTGAACCAAGTGAGCCACCCAGGCGCCCCAAAGCCAGATAGTTCTTGCTAGGGCCAATAACAGAAGAGGTGTTGAAGGCCCGCCTACCAGTCAAACCAACCTGTGGTTTGTGAACTTAAGTGAACCTATTTCAACTGTTCAGGGAGAAAGTAATATTTGCTGTGGCTTAAATGCCAAGAACGTGCCTGTGCATTATTTTTTTTAATCCTCTAAATAGCCCTATGAGATAATTATTTTTACCTCATTTTACATGTGAGGGAGATAAGGCTTGTACTTAAGAAATCATTGAGGTTGAATTTTGTTAATTTTTGTGTCTCCAGAACCTAATACATACTAAGATCACATTCCATTGGAATATGGACTATGGAGCTTCCCTACAGACTGCATATTTTTGCTCTGTAAGATCCCCAGTGCAAGGGCAGTTCTTGGCACATAGTAAGCGCTCAACAAACATTTGTGGAAATAGTGAAATAAAGGTCTCAATCATCACCTAACGGTGTTTTGAACATGCATCTTAACATTTCAATTCCAGGTGTCCTGAGCTCATACCAGGTCGCCAGTTCCTAGGAACTCGGCGAGCTGCTTTGTGGATGTCTCAGTGGTGTGGGTTTCCATATGTATTATTCACATGAGCCACTGGCTGCCCTGTGAGATGGATGGCATCCCTGAGCTGCCTGGCTGACTGAAACCAGGAAGCACACTTCCCAGGAGGGCCAGAGGCCTTGTCACTGTGCCCAGAAGCACCTTCACGTTCTCTTCCTTTTACTCTTTGACCCTCCCTCAAGAACAACAAAGGAGAATTTTCAAGAGGACCCAGAATGCTTGATCCAAAAGCAGGTGGCATCCCAGAAACCAAGCCAGACTTCAAATGAGGAGAATGGACTGAGACCCAGGAGCACCTCACAGGACCCCAGGCTAAGAGCTGGGCCAGCTTACTGCAGAGGGATCACAGTGTTTCTGGCTCCCCATACTTCTCTATATGATGATATGCTCTTTTCCTCTCTACTTTCCCAACCCCCACAATAGGAAACACTGTCAAAGCTCCAAAAGCATTTCATCCAATGGCTTCAGCCACTGACAAAAGACATTCATCTGATGCTGTCATGGGCTGAAAGTTTTAAAACCCTATCATCTAGGTTGGCCCAGATGGTCACTTTCTGGACCATTCAGTGCAGACCAGAGGAGCGGGATTATCTGAAACCTGGTAGCACCCTAAGGCCGCACACAGGAGAGGTGAGAATTTCCAGGATAGGAGGCATGCCATGCAGATAGAACAAAAGACGCACATGCCAGGGACCTAGAGTCACACCCTTCTATGCTCAGCTTCCCTCTGGATGGGGCCACTGCGCCCCACCTTTCTCAGACTTCTTCTGCTTCCACTCTACCCCTTTTTAGCTCCTACCTTAACCAACTCCCACAGCAGCAGGTTGCAATCCCAAGTGTACTCAGAGTTTGCACAGGACATGGAAATTCAGGAAGCAGTGCAAAGCGGGTGAAGCAATAGGGCATGGTGGGACCTGCAGTGAGCAGCGCCTGCACCTTGCAAAGTGGGGAGCTGCTGCTACTCAGCTCCAGTCAATCACATGAAGCCTTGAGAAAAGGATGGCCCGATATTGCCAGATCTTTCTACTTTTCAAGAGAAGGTAGAAGGCCTGCTTTTTTATGTGAGATCTCCTGATGTTCAATAGTTGGCAACAAATTCAGTTCTCATAAAAAAAAAAAAAAAAAACACCCTATTAGCCAAACAAAATGAGTGCATGGCCAAATTGGCCCATAGGCCACCAGTTTGCAGTCTGTGATTGAAGTAGCCAAGTGAAATGTACTACAGTGTAAAAGAACTTCAGGGTGTGAACTAAATAGTTGAAGTATTACAAATACAGTGTTATATTACTCAGTTGAATGTGCACATGTTCAATAGGCAATTATATAAGTCAATGATTGAGAAGATCTGGCTTAACAGCCACTCATAGGAAAAGATCTTGGGAATTGAATTGACCACAAGCATAATGTGAGCCAACATGAGTCATCAATGTAGTATGACTGCCTAGAAAAGTAATGAAATCTTATGATGCATTAATGGAAGTTAAGGGACTGAATAGGGAAAGAAATAATCACATTGTACCTTGGGCTTGTCAGACCCCATTTGCAGGATTACTGTCAATTCTGGATACCAAATATTAATGACGGGTGGTAATTGGATCTAGAGGTCTCACCCATGAGCCTAGGATAAAGGAAGAGAAGGTTTGTGTCCAGAAGAGGGAAAGCTCAGAGGAAACAGGATGGGTTGCTGTATGTCAGGTTTTTGGCTGCCCAAGATCTGAACTTCTTAGATTTGGGAGATTATCCACTTGGTGAAATGTGTTTTTCCAGCTAGGGTGTGGGGATGTGACTCAGGCTCTGCCCGCTGAGAGCTGCCCCTATCCCCACCCTCCCCATGCCCTGAGAGGGGGAAGGAGGGTGGCAGATGGAGCATCATGGAGTTCCAACTGCAGGAACAGGTGGGGGAGGATGGAAGGGCCGGCCACGTGGTAATCTCGAGGAGAGGGGCCAGCTGTTGTCAGCAGACCAGCCCCAGGCCTGATTGGCGTGGTGAGCCCGGGCCATGGCCTCCACTGCTTTGCCAGACCTCCTGGTGATCCTGTGGATGTCCCAGTTTTCCTTGAATAGTTCCTTTTTTGTTAAATCAGCCAGAGTCTGTTTCTATCATTTGTAACAGGGTACTCTAATTGATACACGTTATTTATTATGAATCAGAGATCGGTGAAGGCCCTCAGTATGAGACAATTGTCACCATGCTGAATAGCAAGTCCTCTTGGCCCTCATGCTGGAAAGGTATCCAAGGGAGTCACCCGGGGCACCATTCATTCATTCTACCAGCAGTTCCTGAGTGCATTGTACATCAGGTGCCGGCTGAGAGCCCAGGCTGTAGACCAGGACAGACACTGGGGTGCAGTGATGAGAGCCTGTCTCTGCGTGTGCAGGAACCCCAGTGGTGCCAACTCAGATAAGTGAAACCACTTCTGTGAACCTCAGTTACATCTTCTATAAACCAGAAGGCAAAAATATCTCCCCTCTTTAGAGGCTCTGAGACCCTGAAATTTCTAAAATTGAATGAAATATTAGAAAGGATATTGTTTTTGCCTTGTTATTAGGAAGAAAACTATAATGAATTAAAGTTACAGGGAGGCAGTTTCCAGCTAAACATGGAAAAGTGCTTTTTAATAAGGCTGAGTTGTCCAACAACAGCATCAGCAGTCCTATGAAGGAGGAGCCCCAAAAGAAAAAAATTCAGGCACACATTATGGGTGTAAAGAATCTGTTAAAGCACTTCTGGCCAGCCCAGCATTGCTTCTTTTGGGAAGCCCCCCATCCCTGGTCCACTGGGCCGCTCACTCTGCCTGCACCTGTGTCTCCAGCAGGCCGTGTGGTCAAAGCTGACCCATCAGAACTGTTCGCTCCTTAGATGATCAGTTCGGGCAACCACTTCTCAGCAGCATCTGAGACTGGGCATATAGATATTGAAGGAGAGGGGATTCTCTCTTCCTTTTGGATTCTGAGCCTTAAAGATATAGACCCCAGGATTTAAGTGGCCACCTTTCTTTTCACATGTGGAAGGCCCGCTAGAGGACGGGTAGGAGTCCATGAAGGACACTACACCCAGAGCATACATGAGTCCTTATAACCCTGTTTTTACTTAAGATAGTTTGAACTGGGTTTCCGTCCCTTGCAACCAAGTGACTTTTGCCCAAAACACACCATCCTGTGGCTGCCCGGATCCCATCATCAACCTAAGTGCCCAAGTTTAAGACAGGAGCCCACCCTGGAGGACACCCCTAGCCCAAGCCCTTATATATACAGCTAGGTACCATTTTTTTGCACCTTCCTAACATCCTAATGGATATTTACCCCCAAAGGTCCTCCCATTTCCATTTCCTTCCACATTCTTCCCTCTTCCCATCTGCTGCAGCCTCTATGCTACTGAGCCAGCCTTGGTTCTCAATGCAAGGCTGCTGCCTTCTCCCATCTGGTTTTCCATGGGCAGTGGCTCTTCATCTTCCAAGCTCTTTCCCAAACCTCTACCTTCTTGTCCATGTGTGTTATTCATGCTGTATCTCTCTTCCTGTGGAAACCCATCTATCTCGCAGACTACCTCCTCCAGGAAGCCCTTCTTGATAGCTTCTCTTTTGAATCCACTGTGCTCTTTTCCCCTGCATCTTTTGTATTCTGCCCTACATTTATATTTATGTTGTAGCAGTCCTGTAGACCCTGCCCCCCCCCAAACTCCTCAAGAGCAAAGACTCTGTTTTATTGGTCATTAAGACCTGTCAAAAATGTTCTGAGCAACGTAGGCATTTAATAAAAATCTGCAGAGTTGGACTAAACT